CTCTCTCACAGGGTGTCTATTCTGGGGAGAGGAGGGGAAGGCGATTGTAAGCGGCTCCAAGACTCTGAGTGAAGGGCAGGGTAGAAATCCAATATTTTCTTCTTCTTCTAACCAGAGCCAACCCTGCCTGGCATCTGAGATCAGGATCAGGGTACGCTGGCCTGTCCAGCTCAGGTCCAAGGGCATTTACTCCCAAGTTAATGTGCACACAAGACCTAGGGTTGCCAACCTCCAGGTGGTGGCTGGAGATCTCCCGCTATCACAGTTGCTCTCCACGGAGATCAGGATCACTTCCCCTGGAGAAAATGGCTGCTTTGGACGGTGAAGTGTATGGCACTACACCCTGCTGAGGTCCCTCCCCAGACCCCACCCTTCTCAGGCTTCACCCCAAAAGTCTCCAGGTATTTCCCAACCTGGAGCTGGCAACCCTAAAAGACCGCGCCTTTGCGGCCCAATCCTTCCCAGTAAGCCCCATTCGTGTTCAACGGGACACGGCCCTCCTCCTCCCCAATACAAAACGTGCATGACCCTGCAGTGCACGGTATTCCATTGCTGGGTAGCTCTCGCATGAGACGCTCGCCAGGCTCTGGCCGGCCGCAGCCACACCCCGCCGGCTGCCGAGCTTCCGGGCGGGCCACTTGCACCTGGCACCGAAGAAGGGCCGGCCGTTCGTGGGTTGGCCGCCGCATTTAAGGCGCGGCGCGCCACGCCGGGACCCGAAGCGCTCCATCCGCGCGCCCCCTGTCTTAGAGCCCGCCATGCTCCCGCAGGTCTGGCTGGCGACGGCGCTCCTGGCTTGGCTGGCGGCGACGACGAGGAGCCGGGGTGCGCTGGGACCCCGCGGAGGAGACCCCGGCTGCCTGTCGCCGGCCGGCTGCGACTCTCCCGAGGCCGGGAGCCACAAGGCGCCCTGCGGGCAGAAAGGCTGCGGCGCCAGGGCGGCGGGCGAGCCGTGCGGCGTCTACACGCCCGGCTGCGCCCGCGGGTTGCGCTGCGTGCCGCGCCCCGGGGAGAGAGCCCCGCTGCACGCCCTGCTGCGCGGCAAGGGGGTTTGCCTGGCTGCTGCCGAGGAGGGCAAGCCGGCCGGCCGTCGGAACCAGACGGAGGCGGGTGAGTGTCCGAGCCGAGGCGGCTGCGTCTCTTCCCCTCTCGGGCTTCACGCGGATTAGCTGCCTCGGAGAGAGTTGGGAAAAAGAGCAAGAGAGTCCAGTTAGCACCTTAAAGGCTAACGACATTTGTGGCGGGGGACGAGCTTTTGGGAGCCGCTGCTCGCTTCTTCGGATACAGCGGGAGTGTGACACGAAGTCTGAGTCCAGTGGAACCTTTAAGGCCAGCCGAGTTTCACAAAGCTAGAATGGGAGGGCGGGGTATAAATTTTAATAAATAAATAAAGAAATAAAGAAATAGCTTGGAGAGTGGCGTGGTTTCAGATGCAGGCAAATGACAACAGCAGGTGTGACTGGACTCTGCAGTGATGTGCAGAGGGGGGTAGTAGGCGTGGAGAAATCAGCATTGGTAATGAGACAGGAAACCGGGGTCTCCCTTCAGTCCAGGTGGACGCATTGGGTTGAGTTTCGTTATCAATTGCAGTTCAGCAGTCTCTCTCGGGTAGAATTGCAAGCCGTGCAAGGAGCAACTTGGCAAGCGGTGCCTTTGACCGAGGGGACTGTCTTTCCTGCTATAGTTTAATTACGTATGTATCCTCAGGGTCCTGTTCTGCCCTGGATGGCCCAAGCTAGCCTGATCTGGACAGATCTCAGAAGCTAAGCAGGGCAGTCCTGGTTAGTGTTTGGATAGGAGACCACCGAGAAGTCCAGGGTTGCTACGCAGAGGAAGGCAATGGCAAAACCACCTGTCAGTCTCTTGCCTTGAAAATCCAATGGCGTCACCATAAGTAGGCTGTGAATTGACGGCCCTTTATGCAAACGCACACCCCCCTAAGGGTATGTAGGAGGTGAATTAATCTGGTTTAGATACATCTTAACCAGTGCTCCCTCTAGGCTGTGGAGTCTTGTGAGCAAAAATTCTACTTTGTGAGCCATTGGCGTTAAAGTTGTGAGCGAGCGATTTGGCTACTGCACAAATTCGTTTGCTCTGGAGCTGAGCTGAGACAAAAATGTGTGAGCCGGAGGCTAAAAAACTGTGAGCTAGCTTGCACTAACTCAGCTTAGAGGGAACACTTAACCCATCTTGGTTAGGATTGCTAAAATGTAGTTAAGGGGTGGGTTGTTGTATCCTCACCTTGTTTTGTAAATCTCTTAAGCCCACTAGACTGGAGGGAGTCTGCCTAGCATTGTGCTGTCGAAGACATTACTACAGAGGGTATGCTTTTTGCATGCATACTATACCCTGTTTCCCCGAAAATAAGACCTACCCCAAAAATAAGCCCTAGCAGGATTTCTATGCATTTGTGGTATAAGCCCTAGTGTGTCGTCTTGAGAAAAAATAAATATAAAACAGTGTCTTATTTTCAGGGAAACACGGTATGTTCGGGTTCTCCTTCCAGGACGTGCAGTAGTAACGCCCTGCCCCAAAACTCTGAGGTTCCCGTGTGGCCCAGGGGCCAGGTTGATCTTGTTGCGGTGCAGAAGCTAAGCAGGGCCGGCCCCTGGTTAGTACCGGGAAGAGAAGTCCAGGCTTGCTCTGCAGAGGCAGGCAGTGGCAAGCCGTCTTTGAGCTTCTTGAAAACCCTACGGAGTTTCCATGCCTCTGCTGCAACTTGACGGCAGTTTCCCCCACCGTCTCCCGAGGATGAAGAAGCCTCCTGCGGCCAGCAGTCCTTCTCAGGGTTAAAAAAGAGCCAGGCATTCTTGCTGCATGGGTGAAAGGGCTGTTTCTTTTGTACAGAGAGGCTTTGTTCCAAATGCAAAGCGAGATCCGGTGCCTTGGTGGGGGACTTTTAAAGAGGGCCATCTCTGTATGGTTTGGGCACGTTCTAAGGCAGGTGTGATGCCTTAGTCAGAGTTTCCCAAACTTCTTAAAACTTTGCCTCTACACCATTTCTAAAAACTTTGCCTCTACACCTGCTGCAGCCATGCGACTTTCCAGGTCAATAGAGAGGCAGTGGTGTCCACAGATGAACATCTCTCACCTGCCGGGTGTTGATTGGGTAATGAAGGTCTGCAGCTTCTGACTCTAGAGGCAAATGTGGTTCGGTACAGAACCAAGTGCCCTGACCTTGGAAGCTCAGGCTAGTCAGATCTCAGAAGCTAAGCAGGGTTCAGCCCTGGTTAGTATTGGGATGGGAGACCTCCCAAGGAACGCAAGGGTCGCGACGTGGAGGCAGGCAGTGGCAAACCACCTCTGACCGTCTCTTGCCTTGAAAACCCTACAGGGTTGCCATAAATCAGCTGTGACTTGATGGCACTTTCCACCACCACTGAACCAAATACAGCGTTTTTTACAAAAAATTGATTCATTATTGGAAGGGTAGGTGGGGTGCAAAAATAGCCAGTGTGTAAAGGGAGTGGCAGGCAGATATGTTTATGGGACTAAGTGACTTCTTAGAGAAAATGCAACTAAATGGCTTTTTTACAGAAATGTAAAATGGCTGAAGTGAACAGTTGCCAGTAGCCCAAATATGAGCTATGCATAGACTTATGCCTCTGCACTATTGTGCAGGGTCATACTTATCATTTCTTGTGAGTCCTTGTGTGTGCCGCTTCCTAATAAGGGACTCGCGGCAGCCAGTGTTTGGCTGCAGAAACTTTATGGATTATTGATCTGCCTGTTAGTTATCAGCAGTGAAGAGCAAGTATAGCCTAGTGATTAAAGTGTTGGACTACAGTCTGAGAGACCCAGGTTGGGTTCCCCACTGTGCCACTGGAACATGGCGGGCGACTTTGGGCCAGCCACGCACTCTCAACTGAGCCCGCTTGCGGGGAGGGCGGGGTATAAGTTTGATAAATAAATAAATAAACTCTCAACCTAGCCTCTCTTGCAGGGTTGCTGTGAAGATAAAATGGGGGAGAGGCGAACGATGTAAGCCACTTTGGGCTCCTCTTGGGGTGAAAGATGGGATAGAAATGAAGTTACTATTTTCATTCGTTGTAGATTTTCCGGGCTGCGTGGCTGTGGTCTTGGCATTGCAGGACCTGATGTTTCACCAGCAGCTGTGACTGGCATCCTCAGAGGTATAACACAGAAAGATGACACAGAGAGTCCTCCATCTTTTTGTGCTATACCTCTGAGGATGCCAGTCACAGCTGATGGCGAAACATCAGGTCCTACAATGCCAAGACCACGGCCATACAGCCCGGAAAATCTACAACAGCTACTGTTATAAGACTCTTTGACTCCATGTTACAGAGTAGAATAAACTCCTTACTGCTCTTTTTAAAAGAGAGCATATGTTTTTGGGTTCCCCTCCCCCGCTCATAACAGCTGCCCTAATAGACAAAGGTCCAATGGGCAAACTATAATTAATGGCTCTTGTTGCATCCTCTGCTACAATCAATGATTGTATTCTTGATTCCATGGATCATCCATATTGTTCCTGATGGTCCACAGATCAAATACCGCTTACTCTTTATTAACCAGTGCAAAACCCAGTTGGGATGCAGTTTGTTTCTTTTTCTTCTATACTGCACTTTCCCATTAGTTATAAATCAACAGGTCACTATGACCTTTATGCTATTCTGTTTGAACGTATCTTAATGCACCGTGGTTCACAGCCTATGCTGGTGATCTGCATGATAAATCTATCCCTTTAATTTGGATCACTCATGTTACCATACCCTAGTTCATGCTAGGAGATAATATAAACAAATAAATAATCGAAAAAGAAAACAAAGCATTAAAGTAAATGACCTCCTCGCAGAGGCTGTGAATTCTGCTGTCCAGTCGGACAACATTCTGGGGGCAATAACAGGCTTGTTTTCGGATCCCTGAGTCACATTTCTTTCCTGCCTTCACTTAACGTGATGTCTCAGGGTTCTGCATATCTTTCGTCCATGTACAAGAGGCCAAGTCCCATCCTTGGCATCTCCTACTGACAAAGTCTCTGGTGATCAAGATCCTTTCACCTCTGCTGTTTTGTCCACCAGGCTTCCTGCAATTCTGTTGCACCTATGTCAGTTGGTGGCCTTAGATCCAACAGTTTGCCATCCTCTCCTCTATATGAGGTCTCCAGTTGATTATACCATTCCATTTAGTGATAAATGGGGAGGATCTATGGCTCAGTGGAATAGCGTCTGCTTGGCAAGCTGAAGGTCCTAGGTTTAATCTCTGGCCCTCCAGTTAATGGTCTGGCAGTAGGTGATGTGAAAGACCTTTCTCTGCCTGACACCTTAGAGAGCCGCTGCCAGTCTGAGTGGACAGTACTGACCTTGATGAACCAATGGTCCAATCCACTATAAGGCAGATTTGAGGTGCTCTGTTAATCTCCCCCCCCCCGACAAGAAAAAGGATGTGATTTCAAGTTATTCTTTTTTTATATATAAATTTTTATTAGATTTCCAACATATACATCTATAAACACAAAAACGAAACAAGTAACCAGACATACATCCATTTAAAACAAGTATCCCACTGCACCTCCAACTAAACTCAGTTTCGCTAACAATATTGATTTCTATATCACAATAATTAAATTTAACATAAGTCGCCTACATGTATTAAATTCTTTGTCTCTTCCATCAATTTCATTTATTATTACAAGTCATCATCAGCTCTTTTTCCGGTAAATTTAGTTAAATATGTTCATTACTTCTGAACTAGAAGGCAGTTGATGAATAATAAAGATAATCGTCTCTTAATACTACATCAAACTTCGTCTCCATATTATTATTTACTTTCTCCAGAAGTTGAATTACATTTATTGAATTTCATTTAACCTATAAGTTTGTATTCCAACTTTTAATCATAACTTAATATGCAATACAAAAAGAGAGTATCACAACAACAACTAGCTACCTCCTGGCATTTCCCACATGACTGCCCATTTGCCTAGCATAGGTACGTAAAAAAGAAGTTCTTCCAGCCACTACCAACAATATCCATATTTTTATATCACAAAAATTCAAAAAGAGCTAAGCAATTCCAGAAGATTTAATCCTATTCTTTTCCTAGATTTCCATCATATATATA